GGATTCCTCTTTCCAGTTTTAGATTTTAAATAATTACATCTGTTTTTCTGTGACATAAAATGATCGTACTTCTTTTGCTTATCCCATAAAGGAGTTGATCTATTCATAAAGATCTATTCATAAAGATCTATTCATAAAGATCTATCCATAAAGATCTATCCATAAAGATCTATTCATAAAGATCTATCCATAAAGGAGTTATTCATTTCATCCAGTCCATTATCTCCATTTCTTTTTTTCATTAATCAACAAAACTCGTTTCATTCTTGATTCTAATAGGCTCACATTTGAATCCTTTCTATTTCTTTTCGTTTTTCGGACAGTGTAGAAATTAGCAAATTTTGATTTAATTAAAAATTCGGTTAGAGAAATGGAGAGACGAAGAACATAATTTGTGATTAGAGTGTGCTTAGAAAACACGTCAATTTTTGAAAAGTACCATAGCTTTTGATGAAATCTCTTCATTTTTGTATATCTTTCGATATTCTTTATGAAACCTCACTAAAAGTCATCATCAGCTTGATTTAGAAGTAAGGTTACAGTAGCTTTCAAAAGTGAACACATTTTAGAAAACGCACGTAACATTAGCCTTTGTTTTTGGCAGATTCCAAGAAAGATTGAATCTCTCAAAAACCAAAGGTTTAGTATTTCCATTTTCGGTTTAAAAACAGCTTATCGTTTACAAGAAAAGAAGCTGAAGAAGTTCATTGCCACCAGCTGGTCGATGCTCCTTGTACAAAGAGGAAAGAAAAAGGAGATCGAATCGGAATCTTTTTCCCCTTTTCAGAAAGGATTTCCCAAATGTGAGTTGCCATAAATGAGTGCATGAGTGTGAAAGGGATTGGCAAAGGAGAAGGAGAAGGAGAAGGAGAAGGAGAAGGAGAAGGAGAAGGAGAAGGAGAAGGAGAAGGAGAAGGAGAAGGAGAAGGAGAAGGAGAAGGAGAAGGAGAAGGAGAAGGAGAAGGAGGGAGAAGGAGAAGGAGAAGGAGAAGGAGAAGGAGAAGGAGAAGGAGAAGGAGAAGGAGAAGGAGAAGGAGAAGGAGAAGGAGAAGGAGAAGGAGAAGGAGAAGGAGAAGGAGAAGGAGAAGGAGAAGGAGAAGGAGAAGGAGAAGGAGAAGGAGAAGGAGAAGGAGAAGGAGAAGGAGAAGGGAGAAGGAGAAGGAGAAGGAGAAGGGAGAAGGAGAAGGAGAAGGAGAAGGAGAAGGAGAAGGAGAAGGGAGAAGGAGAAGGGAGAAGGAGAAGGAGAAGGGAGAAGGAGAAGGAGAAGGAGAAGGAGAAGGAGGAAGGGAGAAGGAGAAGGAGAAGGAGAAGGAGAAGGAGAAGGAGAAGGAGAAGGGAGAAGGAGAAGGAGAAGGAGAAGGAGAAGGAGAAGGAGAAGGAGAAGGAGAAGGAGAAGGAGAAGGAGAAGGAGAAGGAGAAGGGAGAAGGAGAAGGAGAAGGAGAAGGAGAAGGGAGAAGGAGAAGGGAGAAGGAGAAGGAGAAGGAGAAGGAGAAGGAGAAGGAGAAGGAGAAGGAGAAGGAGAAGGGAGAAGGAGAAGGGGAAGGGAGAAGGAGAAGGAGAAGGAGAAGGAGAAGGAGAAGGAGAAGGAGAAGGAGAAGGAGAAGGAGAAGGAGAAGGAGAAGGAGAAGGAGAAGGAGAAGGAGAAGGGAGAAGGAGAAGGAGAAGGAGAAGGAGAAGGAGAAGGAGAAGGAGAAGGAGAAGGAGAAGGAGAAGGAGAAGGAGAAGGAGAAGGAGAAGGAGAAGGAGAAGGAGAAGGAGAAGGAGTCTCTTTTTCTCTATGAGTTCTCTATTTGAAGAGGATGAACAATCCGATCTCTTTCCCGATCTTTGTCCTTCGATTTCACTTCTCTAGCTCTTTCTCTTAATCACCGCCATTTCCTCTCCTCTCCCTTAATGGAGTATTTGCATAAAACAAGCCTAGAGCCTCATGTTTTAAAGCCAAATTTGAAGATATTCAGCTAACTTATCAGAGCTTTTCATAGCTTACTCTAGATTTTTGTCCGTAAGCAATGATTTTTATGCTTACTTTCTCGTTATCTTCTCAAGTAGTTTTCTAAGATGTATCTGTCGTAGCCGATTATGAATGAGTGGGTCTAGGAGCGTCCAACCATCAAGCATTTAGTATCATTCAACGCAGAATCATTGATAATTATGTTAAATTTTTTAAAATTAGCAAGATTTGATGAAAAGAACACAAATTATGGAGCTTCAAAGTTTTCTCTTGAACAAAAAAGGTTTTTTGCTCTAATTTTTTGTTCTTTTCATCAAATCTTGCTAATTTAAAAAATTTAACATAATTATCAATGATTCTGCGTTGAATGATACTAAATATTGGGTTGATGCATAATTATCCGGACTTCTTTTATAAATGATTTTATTTAACAAAAAATAACATAAATAGTTAGAAAAATATGTTTAATTGATTATTCTGGAGCATATTCACCGCCTACATCAATAACTGATTGCCATTTGCTTGGAAGACGATCGATTCCACGAGCGAAGAATAAACGATCTTTGGAGGCAATCCACGCTTTAACATCGTCTATCAAGTCATCCAAATCGTTGTAGATCTTATTTGTTTGCCAATTTTTGAGCGATCGATTGACGTGCTAGTCCGTTGGGGCTTCTCCAGTTCTTTGAGATCGCGAAACGACTCTGCGGCAGACCATCCCTTTTCGAAGTGGTAGAGCATGATATGGCGAAGATGGATATGATTGTCGACACGCATTTTGTTCACTAAAGAATAACGAATATTTAAAAAAAAGAAATAGACAAAAAGCTTTCAAAACAAAAAAGATACAAGCACGCAAAAAGAAGTCCGGATAATTATGCATCAACCCAATACTTGATGGTTGGACGCTCCTAGACCCACTCATTCATAATCGGCTGAAATTCATAATCGGCTGAAATTCATAATCGGCTACGAGGGTCCCGCTGATTTTGAATGAAACGTTGTAGCGCCGGCAATTTTTAACCTAAACTCACAAATTTGGTACCAATCGACGCAGAATTGAATTCGCTACAAGATGATATAATATTGTCCTCATACATTAAAGGGTTGCTCTACTATTGGGTTGTCCAGTTATGAATGCGCGTTTGTACTATTTTATAAATTTCTCATGATATCGAACAGATGTATATGGGTGTTATATATCATTCGAAAGCTGAAGATCTCCTCTATATTTTGGAATAAAAAAGTTTTTGCATTCATTCAACTTTTTGGGAAATTGACTGCACAAAGGAAGAGGTGGGTTCCGAAAAAAACTCATTTCAGCTTAGCTATTCTTCAAGTTTTATGGTGTAAGCGCCCAGAAAAGAAAAGTAAAGATGCTCTGAAATTGAAAGGGAAGGGTCTGTGGTCGACCCCGTCCGATCTGCCAAGTTGAGCAACGTCGGCGCGGGTTAGTCGTGGGTTCGACTCCCATGGGTTCCCCTCCGAGCGCCCCAGCCCGGCCATCGGAGTATCATCGGCTACGACAACTACACTTCTGCCTCAGTAAATGTGGAAGCGGGTTGTGATCTGCGCTAAGTGCGAAGACAGATCAAATCATTATTTTATTATTATATCTTTTTCTTGATTTCGGTATCTTGAGAAATTTACAAAATAGTAACAAACGCGCATTCATAACTGGACAACCCAATAGAAAGATTTGCCAAAAAATTTCATTCATAATCGGCTACGACATATCAACTTTTGACTATCGTAGCCTTTAAACTTTAGAATAAATTTTAATATCAAACAAGCAATGTTTACATTTTGTCAAACGATACTTTATCATTTTGATCTTCAGCCTTATCTCTGTAAAGTGAGATTCTCTTAAACAGCTCTTTAGTTTTTCTTTAGTTCAATCTTTCAAACGAACTTTAAACGAACTTTTAAACGAACTTCATCGAGTACTGCTTTGGGTAAATTCACCTTTCTCTTCAATTTTCAAAAGCTCACTCTCTGATTCTTTGATTTCACAGAACAAAATCTTTAAAAGTCTCAATGATTTTCTTTCCTTTTCTTTCATCAATCTTTCCTTTATTCTTCTCCATTGAGAAACCGGGCAAACCGAATAGGCAAAAACGATTCAGAAATTTCACCCAATTACTCACAATGGAAGTGGACTTGTGAACCTTTTTCACGAAACACGTAATTCTCTTTTCTTTTGCTAAACATTTTGTGCAGTAGGATCTCTGTAAATATTCAGCAGTATTTGATGGATTCATAAGCACAAGTCTGGTCTTAAGAGTGCTGGCTCGAACTGTCTTTGGAGAGGGTTGTTTCAAAGACAATTTTCCCGGTCCAGGTGGGCTTGGATTGATCATGGCTTAGCTTGACTTTGCCACAAGATTCCAAGGGCAAACCTAATCTGGCAACAAGAAATCTCAGCCGAAAGATGCCAGTCTTGGACCAGGCTTCAGCTTCGACCTTGGCTTACAGAAGTTAGGATCGGTTTGGGAGATTTTCGAAAGCTTTGGAACACTAAGACTACAAAAGCCAGCCAGAAGCAATCCTGGCCTGATTTCCAAGCAGTTTTTTTAGATCAATCCTCGTTTTTTAAACGAATTTTACAATTTGCATGTCCCAGTTTTGTTCTATGCAAGTATTCAAAGCTCAAAAATCTCTCAAACACTTTGCCATTCCCCTTCAAAACATTCCTTCTCTCTCCTTTTCCGATCTTTTCATCTCCTTCTATTTATATTTTCAAATCATCAATCTGGGGAACTTTCTGTGTTTCATTCATTCATTTCTCATTTCCCCTTCTTGTCACTTTCTTCGTGTAATTTGAACTTAGCAAATCTCCTCACTTTCACTTTTCTAGAGGGGTAAATCGAAAAGCAGCATTTGATTGGGAAAATTATTCAGTTTTATTTGATTAAGTTGAAAAATTATATCTCATTGCCATAATCATTGATCCTTTTGAATGTAGATATTCTCTACATCTTTAGCGTAGAGACAAGAAGTACTTATAAACTTTCAAGCAGTTGTCTTTATCTCTAAAATTTCTCTGGAATGGGATGGCCGACGAGAGGAATCTCCTTGATTTTCCCTAAACATTGCACTTTCCATCTGCTCATTTTGATCACTCTCCTCTCCACTCATCCATTCATCGATGCCTGTATTCGAACTGTTCCAGCGACAAGTTCGTTGTTTTAGAATTCTATATATTCTAGCACAAATTTTGTACAAGCTCACAAAGAAAATCATGCAACACTTCACTTGTTTTTAAGTTGAAATAAACAAATGAGAGACAAGAATGGGATAATAAATCGAGGTGATTAGTAGATTAGATTTGAACATCTGATAAAGCTTCGTACTTGATCGTGGCAACCACTTGTAGATAGACCACCATTGAACAAGATAGACCGCCATTGAACAAGATAGACCACCATTGAACAAGGTTGTTTTTAGAATGAAACTTCAGCTCAGGCCTTGACTTCAATGAAACCCTAGGTTCACTTAAAACCGATTCACTTTTCATTTTCAGCCACCACAACCACGCCGACAACCACCACCACCACAACCACAGGCACAACCACAACAACAACAACAACCACAACCACAACAACCACAACAACAACAACAACAACGACGACAAGTACCACTACAACCACCACAACCACCACAACTAGTATGCTTTGCACTCGCAAAAATAAAATCATCAAATATGCTTAAAAAGGTAAACGCATTCTTTCTGGTACAGTTTAAATTAGCAAATTAAAAGAAATGTAGTCGAGTGCGTTTTCGTTTTGAGCACACACCGAACAGAAACTCCATATAAGGCAATTGCTATTATAGCTCTGTATTGATTTTCAGAATACTCGATTGACAGCTTGACAGCTTAATAGCCTTGCCAGGCTTAATAGCCTTGTCAGGCTTAATAGCCTTGCCAGGCTTGCTTAATAGCCTTGCCAGGCTTGCTTAATAGCCTTGCCAGGCTTAATAGCTTGCCAGCTTGACAAAATCTTTTAGAACTTTATTGATATGAAAGAAGCCATATAAAATGTTGGTAAAAAATTAGCTTGATCACTCCCACACCAAAGAAAAGCACAAGCACCAATTTGATGCTTCGATTTATGTTCTATTTTCATTTTCAGCTATTTCCCTTTTCAAAGTCATCACTTGAACATTTACATCACTTCTTGAAGCACTTGAAGCAACAATTCTTATAATATTTTCAAAAAGTCACCCTAGAAGAAACATTGTACTAGAAAGAAACAAAAAATTTCAGCTACAACAACGACAACCACCACAACAACAACCACCACAACGACAACAACGGCAGCTTGTAAGTTTACTAACAAAAAAGTGTCAACTGACCAAATACTAAAGTCAAGATTATAATAGCTTTCAAAAGAAGGCAAACTTTAGAAAACCGTAGACTCAGAATTGCAAGAGAGCCAAAGCTCTTTGAGTACCCAAAACAAAATAGATATTAAAAAATCAGCGACAAATTGGCCATATCATTTGGCCACTCTTCGGCTTTCTCTTCTTTACAAATAATTCTCACTCTTATTTTCAGCTTGCACATCTTGTACAGCAAGTCAAATCACTTTCACGCCGGCTCAAGCGAATCGAACAGGATCGATTGATTCATCGTTCAGGTGCGAAAGGGGAAGAGGAAGTGGGGAAGGGAAGTGGGGAAGGGAAGTGGGGGAAGGGAAGTGGGGGAAGGGGAAGTGGGGAAGGGAAGTGGGGAAGGGAAGTGGGGAAGGGAAGTGGGGGAAGGGAAGTGGGGAAGGGAAGTGGGGGAAGGGAAGAGGGGAAGAGGAAGAGGGGAAGGGAAGAGGCTTATCAAAAGGATGACGGTATCAATATCTTTTCAATTCTAGCGGTCCCGCAGCAACAGGCACGAATGGATGCCTTCAATTGACGGCAATCTGCAATGGAGATCCGGGATTCGTTTCTTTTATGCAGGTAATTGAAGAAAAAGCTGTGAATGGAAATTGTGAATGGGGATTGTTTATTTTAGTTTAATTTCGAACAAGGTGGACCCCAAGAGAATCAACTTATGTTACAAGTGACAACAGCTGTATTGGATTGCAGAGATGGGCTATGGTGAGTTGTTTTTAGAGTGAGAACTTTTAAGCAATCAATCAATCAATTACATAAGACGAAACGAAAGAAACTGTTTAATCAATAGGTAGGCAAAAATGGTAAGCGCAAAAAGACAGGGTAAGCGCACAGTGACTCGTCGACAGTAAATTGTCAACTAGCAGATGCTACAGTAGCTAAATACTACAGTAGCTAATGCTACAGTACTATTCTTTATCACAATCTGTTTCCCTAGGTTCTACATGAATCGACAAGTTTACGAGGTGGATTGTCAAGAAGCACAGAATGGATAGAAAGCACAGAATGGATTTTGTGAAAATATTACTCTTAATATTTGACAAGGTTCACAAATCTTAATCTCAATAAGGAATTGAATTGAATTTTAAATTGAAATCCATAAAAATCTGATGTTCAAACGGTGCTTGTCTTTCGTAATTTGAAGAAAATTTGATCATTTCTTTTTAAATTTGCTCATTTATCTAGATATTTGAATTTATAATTTATAAAGATGTACCGGAAAGTTATAAAAATACAATAAGCCAGAAAATACTGTAAACAAAGAGGAAAACTGACTACAGTAATCAGGGTTTAGCCAGGCTTTACTTAACGATTACTGTAGTCGAAGACTCTAGCCGTAGGTTATTGTAACTTTGACTTACTCTAGCCATTGCTTTCGTAAAGATCACTGTAGCTAAGGCTTATGGTATGTACGAATTACTGTACCTAAGACTTTTTGGCCAGGGTTTACTGTGGCCAGGGTTTACTGTGGCCAGGGTTTACTGTGGCCAGGGTTTACTGTGGCCAGGGTTTACTGTGGCCAGGGTTTACTGTGGCCAGGGTTTACTGTGGCCAGGGTTTACTGTGGCCAGGGTTTACTGTGGCCAGGGTTTACTGTGGCCAGGGTTTACTGTGGCCAGGGTTTACTGTGGCCAGGGTTTACTGTGGCCAGGGTTTACTGTGGCCAGGGTTTACTGTGGCCAGGGTTTACTGTGGCCAGGGTTTACTGTGGCCAGGGTTTACTGTATGGATTACTGTATCCAGTGCTTTACAGTACTCCCTTATCAGATAGATATTTGCATTTAAAGTTCGTCTTTCCAATTTGTGATTCTCAATTGTGATTCTCTTTTGCAATACCCCTCTTTTCCTTGTTCCCAATCAGCTCAAACTTGTCGTCACTTTTCCTTCATTTTTTTTGATTCTTTTGTTTGTTTTTTTTTGATTCGAAATGAAATGTTCAACGGAATTTGGATAAATATTGTGAAAAACAGATATGAATATCGTATTTTAAAGTTCATGCAGGTGTAAAGAGATTACTGCCAACAGCGTGCGATCTTTGAAGTGCATTAGCACTTTTAAATGATTTATCATTTAAATGAGCAAAGAGATTACTGCCAACTTGATCTTTGAAGTGCATTAGCAGTGCTTCGAAGTGAACGACAAGCAAAACATTAGGAATATTGTATTTTCCTTTTTTTGTTTGTTGATAAATCATTTAAAACTCGTTAACAGAGCAACTGGGGAAAGCAAAAAGAAACTGGTGGCTCACCCTGTTGCACATATTGACCACAATAAGCACTATCGCCCGGAAAAGCTCAAATTCGGTCCGTCGACGATATCATTGAAGGGATATTGTAGAATTACAGCTACAGTACTTGAGAGGTACTGTATTTGTAACAAGTGATTCTTAGAGAATCATTTCGAGACACTTTCATGTTAAATTTGAATTTTCGTCGCAAATTTTAAATATTAATTTTATCTTATTGTTAAATGTTAATTTTCGCGCGACATCGCGTTCCAATTGACGTTTGGAAGGCCGTCGTTTGGAGGTAGTCGATGGGAGCGTCGCGTCGTCGTTTCTTTTTCATTTTTAAAAAAAATAATTTTTTGTTGTATGGTTTTCTTGTCTTTGTTAGATTAATTGAAATTATTGTTTTACGCGATAAATTTTGTTTTTCTCTTTGAAATGAGAAAGAAATCTATTTCAAAGCCGAGTGGAGAATCCGGGACTTTTTTTAGCCGGACCACAATGAAGGCCAAAACTAATTGTAAGATGGTTTCGGGAATTGAATGGAAACAACGAAAGCAAAACTCAAAACAACCCTCTTCAAAGACAGCTCGAGCCAGCACTCTTAGAAGATGTGCTTATGACCAAATTGCTGATATTTTCCATTTACAAAACCAACTGCCCATTAGCTTATTCCACATTTCCTCTCTGTGAGACTTGGTGAGTTTTATTTGCACATGATAATATCATACCATTGATTCGAATCATATGAATCCCAGTGCAGTGGTGGAAAGAAAGGTCCTAATGTCTTTGAAGGGGTTCCGGTCGACGGATTCCAGTTCTTATGAGAGAGGGGAGAGGTGTGTTTGTCCTTCCTAAAAGAGGAAGAGAGAGAGAGAGAGGAAGGAGAAAATCTCTCTAGATCAAATGGTCACTGCCCACCCCATCCACCCAAGACAAAGAAGAGAGAGAGAGGTTAAGAGAGGGACAAACACGTAGAAGGGGTGGGTCTACCCTGGACTCTGTTCCCCTTGAAGGTCCACCCTGTGCAGGGTCCCCCGTTCCCTGTTTACATCGTCTTCCTCATTTGGAACACCCTTCTCCTAACATTATCTTTTTTCCTTTTATCTTTTATCTAATCAATTCCTTTCTGTTTTCTGCCTTTTCTAGAACTTGTTCACTTTTTGCGCTTATTATTGCGATTATTTGATCAAAAATTGTCTAAACTAGAGTTAGGTCAACATTAGAATTGATTAGCTTGTCAGAATTGATTTGATTTTTTGATTAAATACACAATAAATTAGACGTTAAGATCCAGTTAAGCTGGTTTTCAGCTTGTTTTCACTTTTACAGTTCTACCAACGTTTACAAATCCTCCAGTTTCTTTCTTTACCTGAATATTCTTTATTTTCTTATTCTTTATTTGCTTATTCTTTACCTTTATTCACAGTTTATTCCCTTTCAATTATTATTTAGAAATGGGTACCGGACGGGGTATTTATCCCGCCTTGGTCACTCTTCTTCTCGTCCCATGGAGTGGCGCACAAAATGTGAACATTGGCGGGCAAAATATTGGAATTGGTAAAGAAACATTTGAAAAATATTATCTTTAGATATTTATCGATAAACTTTAGGTCAATCCGGTCTTCCAGGCTCAGGTTTACCAGGATCCGGAGGCACAATTTTCACCGGCACCGGCAATAATCCCTATTATGGAGGTAGGAAATTTACTTTTACTTTTAATATTTACTTTTACACAACCAATGAAGATTTATTATACATAACATACATAGCTTTTTACTTGTCTTGAAAGCTTTCCGTTACTTATCATGCTCTTACTGTACAGTTTTTGCTTATCTTGTACAGTTTTTGCTTATCTTGACCTCTTGCAGTATCCCAGTGCTCAGCATGCTGCATTTTCCTTCACCCTAATCAAATCACCTGTTTTATTTCACTTTTAGTATTCATAATTCTCATCTTTGTCCTCAAAAATTCTCATAGTATTCCCCAGGTTGAAGAATTCCGTTCTCATTTTATTTTCCCTTTTCTCTTTCGGGTTAATTCTCATGGTGGAAGCTGGCTGAAAAGGGAACTTCTGTTTGCACCCATTGGTAGGCTCAGGTGAGGAAGGGAAAGGGGCATAAGGGGTGGAGACCCTGAGGGGTGGACCCCGTATGCAAATATCGAGGCTCCCTCCGTTCCTCCCCATCCACCCAAACCATCCACAAACACGACGAATAGCCATAACACTTGCACCGCTTAAAGCAAGCTACCGGCTGTCGAAAAGTTTGAGGGAAATAGAAAAAGCTGGGATCGATTTATCAGTTTAATGATCAATGATGAAGATCAAGATATACAAATCATTTGTACATAAAAGTTCTTGCTTTAGCACAAGTTTATGTGTGTTTGCATCAAGATTTTCAGTCTTTTTGTACTAAAATTTAGTTAACCAATCACAATTCATCTGTTATTTGTACTTTTACTTCAATCCAACGGGTTACTTGCACGAGAATTCGAAATTGGACTAAAATTTGAAAGGGTTCTTTGAAAGGATTCTTTTGAATTTGTTTTGAAAGAAAAAAATGGACTAAGATTTGTCTGAAACAGGATAAAAGTAACAATTTAATCGTTTAACTTGGATTTTCTCCAATAGTAGTTCACTCCGGCGAGCCGAGTTCGTGACTATTTTACGGTTTCCAAGTTTTCCCAGAAGCTCAACACTCTAATCCCCCACAAGATCTCATCGTGAGCTACATTTTCCGACCCCACATCAATAGGTTCTGATAAGCGCTTTTCGAGATTTCGAGGAATTTAGGCGACGCTCACGGTGCACTACTGTTAGAGAGAATACGGTAAATGAAAAATTGTGATATCATTGCGTACCTTTCTGTAGTAAACTTGATAAAACAGATTGCTTTGGGTGCACTACTATTAGAGGGAATACGGTAACTTGTATTAAACACTGAGGAAATAAACAAATTTAAACAATATATACAAGAAGAGTTGGGGACAGAAAAAGGGATTCAATTGAGGCGAGACAGCGAGACAAAAATCGAGCGAAGTTCGTACTTGTCCGTAGTCGTTTCACGTTTTCTTACTTTGAAGCTACTTTTGAATGTAAATATTTAGCAAATCATCGTTCAGAAGCTTTAAAAAAATCACACAAGAAAGCTGTTTTCTTATTTGAAAATGTGAATTTCAACTTTTCTAGTAAATCTCGTGCCATTTGGACCAGAGGTGGGCGATCTAAAAGTGAATCCATCAATGCTGACTGCCGGTCAGACGATCGACTTGCACATGTTTTTCCCCTACTATGGCGGGCTTTACAATTACACTACGGTAAAGATAAACGAACAATCTTGTCTCAGATTTATTAGAATATTTTCAAATTTCTTCATATCTTATATCTTTTTTTTTCTAGCTCTCCGTCAACGGTTACATGGGCTTCGCGACGGTGCTCGATCAAGGCCCGACGATTAATGTTGGACCTGATTTGACTGATTGGCCAAGACAAGAGGATCCGGCTATGATTGCACCGTATTTGTGCAAACAACAGGTTTCAAATGTTATAACATTTACATAGGCTTTACAATTACACTACGGGCTCCCCAAAACGGTAACCCAGCGATGCGCTCGAGTGCCTATTATCATCTCCTTCTCCGCTAAAGTCTCTTCGGCAGAGAATCGGGATCGAATCTGAACATAGGCCATTTGTAGCATTAAGTAAAGTAATGAGAAGAAACTCCAATTAACAACAAGACAGCTAGAATCCGGCTCATTCCTTGGCTCTCACAACTTTATCACCTTGGATTTCACTTGATACCAAAAAGCTAGCGTTTCTAGCAATATAAAGTACGATAGCTGATAGCCAATGCAACTAAAGATACCATTGTGAAGCCATCTCATTCTTCCAGGCTCCCCAAAACGGTAACCCAGCGATGCGCTCGGGTGTCTACTATCGTCTCCTTCTCCGCCAAAGTCTCTTCGGCAGAGAATCGGGATCGAATCTGAACATTGGCGCCAACGCAAATCCTTTCTTCACTCAATCGGCTAGACAGGTAACTCAATAGAATTCAGAAAAAAAAAAGAGATCCATTTTCAAGGCTTGTCCGGGCACTCCCGATTCATACGCGCGTTGTGATCAGAACAGTGACGCGTTTTTGGATCTCATGATGGCCTGGCTGCAAGGTGAGCAAAGAGATGCTGATAAAAGAAAGCAAAATGAAAATATCTTTGGAAAAGGATTGGCACCAACTTTCAAGATTGCTTCCTGGACTTTAAAAAAAGTCATTTAAAAAAAGAGAGTCAATCTAGAACTCCAGAAACTATCAAGATATAATTTTTGCTATAAGCTACCAATTCTGGACATATCGATATTGATTTTAGATGGATTTAACCAAAAAATTCCATAGCTTAAGATATTTTGGGTTTATTTTTAAAGCGCTAATTGATTTAAAGCGCTATTGATTAGCGCTTGTTTATTTAGCAGTTAAAAGTAAGCAAATTTAAAACAGTAATCCAGATAAGATTTCGATGAAAAAAACTTGTTAACACATTCGCGACGACAATATTTTAGACGTACAGTCGCGTAGTTGTCAACTTTTTTTTATTGGTATTTTGATGTAAATTCAGAAGATAAACTAAAGTATTATAATGATTCGATAGCTCTGAATCTCCTCTTGAAAACTAATATAAAGTTAACAAGAACTTTCTGCGAAACAAAAGCCCTTAAAAAAATCGTCATTATTACGGTCATTAGTACGGTGGGATTGTCGTGAATGTGTTAATTACAGAGGGAGTCGCCGGCGCATCGATGTTCCGCGCGGACGCGGCTGTGGTGGTCACATGGTACAACACAGCGTCGGCCATCTCCGGACGATCGGATATCGATGCTGGGCAAACGGCAACATATCAAGTAGGCAAAAAAACTCTAGAAATACTCAATAGTATCAAATAGGTGATCTGGTTGACCGATTCGGCTGCCCGACTTTCATATGCTATTCTCAACTACGATCGGCTCGGCTTCGATGCACAGGATTTCCGGGCGAACTCTCGGTCTGGACGTTGCAGGGTGGGTCTCTTAAAAGCTTATGTTGTAGGTAATCTATAGAGTATACAGCAATATTTGTATTTAAAAATCTTTAGGCAGTGTTCAACGGTGGAAATCACACGGGATTCGTTGAAGTCGACCCCACACAACCATACAAGAATACGCCAAAGGTAAGCTGACAGCTGAAGTTGAGAAAGCTTTTTTTTACTTGATCTTGGTTACAAAAAATTACAATTTTTGAATTTTAGATGAAAATTAATAGCTCTTTCCCTGAAATATGATCTTTTGGCGAAAAAAAAAGTCAGTTTCGTGGTCTTCGGATTTTTTGCCTTTTTTTTCAGGCTTAGGTACTGGGTTTTGATAGTTTTTGAATATTCCGTGAGTATATAAGTTTCACTGATATCCAAACGATTACTCCGTCATTCAAATAAGCTCACCTTGCGAGTTGCCGCATGGGATTTATCCTACTGATAGACTGGCGTTTGTTTAGATGAGAAACCATAGTAATTGTAATTGTAATTGTTGTAATTGTAATTGTAATTAGTAATTGAGGCTTTCTTCTAAGTGAAATGAGCTTAAATGAGAAGAAACGCAACAAAAATGCGTTGAAGGGCCATCCAGAAAGAAACGCCAACCGAAACTCTCGGAAAAGAATTCATGTGCACGAAGGGGAAATGAAATGGCGGAAAAGGGAAGGTTACGGTATTTCGGACAAAACTTAGAAAAGAGGGGAAGACGGGATTGAGGGTTTATAGCGGTAGATGTTGGCGTAAAATGATCCAAGCCATCGATGTGCATGTTCTACATTGCTTATTGGGCCGGCGTTTGATTGTTGGAAGTGCTTCTTCAACTTCTTCGAGTGGTAGAACACGTCGGTGTCTTTGTGTCAAATACACCAATCGTCCTTAAACTGCTCCCACAAAACTGTCTTTTTTTTTGGCCAAAAGACCCCGTTTCAAGGAAAGAGCCAAATTTCTCAAGAGCCTTGTTCTAGGTGTTGGCTCAACGATCGGGTGTGCCGCATATGGTGCGCGGGAGATACATGTTCAGGTGAGGAGAAGCCAGATTGAATAGCTCAGAGAAACTTTGGGAAAACATTAAGTTGAGTAATTATTGGCAAGAGTTTAGTAGTATACAAGATTATTTAGGCATTGGTTGGTTTGTCTTTGGTAAGTTCATAAGTTTGGAAAGATTTCTGATCAATGAGTGTTTATAGTAACAGCTCTGTCATATCACAAAGCTGTCATAGCTCTGTCAAGCTCTCTCATAGCTCTGTCATAGCTCTGTCAAGCTCTGTCAAGCTCTGTCAAGCTCTGTCATAGCTCTGTCAAGCTCTGTCATAGCTCTGTCATAGCTCTGTCATAGCTCTGTCAAGCTCTGTCAAGCTCTCTCATAGCTCTGTCATAGCTCTGTCATAGCTCTGTCATAGCTCTCTCATAGCTCTGTCAAGCTCTGTCATATCACATCTTAGAAGTACAAAAAGAAGTATTTTTAAATAATCAAGTGTGATTGTTGAATTTGGACTTGCAAATTGATTGTTATGCAATTTCCATGTTCAGAGTTGATGACATCGTTCGCCCGGCCGGTTGCAGTAACAAAACGGGAGGAACTTGTAAGTAGATTTCTTTTACATTAAAGAGCACAAGAAAGTGTATGTTTACAAGAGCATAAAGTACATTTTTTCCCTTCTTAGATCCAATGATTATTTACCCAAACATTGTGAACATGTTGGGTGAAAACTCGGTGGATATCAACGCGATTTGTCTCGATCGAACGCAAACATATATTCTGATGATTGAGGAAAGAGAGGTGCTGTCATTATTCTATACTTTTTTTCACTGTCATTATTCTATACTTTTACTCATTATTCTATACTTTTTTAAAGATATTTTTCTTAATTTTAGGTAGCCACCTGTACAGTATTAAATGCAGCCATTGCACGATGTAATTTACCAAGGGTAAGTGCTGATTCTTTTTCATTATTATTCAATTTTTTAAAATCTAAAACCTAAAACCTAAAACCCATTATGGTTATCATAATACATTTCTTTTTAAGATCTACGATTGGGGCGTGAAAACAGTGTACTTTCAACCGCAAAACATGGGTGCTAATGAGGAGAAAGCTTTCGTCGGCTACATTTATTTTGGTACAGTGAATCGAAATGATCAAAATATTTACCATAAATACTCTAATAGTACCCACCCCGATAATGGCGGTGCGGAGTGTTGCGTAGTCTAGCTTTGAACGAGTTTTTCTTGACACTGGTTTATGCTAAAATGCGCGCTTAGGTATCAAAAAATAGCCCTGAATTTCAGCTATTTTTTGATACCAAAAACGCATTTTTTGAAAGTACGGGCGTTTTGAAAAAAATGAAATACTAAAAAACTACGCGACTACGCGAAAAAACTGCGACTACGCGACTGTACGAGGGCGGTGCGGTACTATTACAGTATTTACGGTATCTTATTGTGCAGATATTATTATAATATCTATTTATAAGATAATAACTAAATAATTGTAAGTTGTAAGATGAGATTTGACTAGGTATACTTAGGTCAAACTGACCGGTTACAGTATTTACGGTAGTTATTCTTAAAGCTATAGCATTGGGTTAAAGTTATGAAATTGAATTGAATTTAATATTTGAATTAAAATTCGTTTAGTACCGCCGACATTGGATCCGATGAGATTGGATATTGGAAATATATATGAATGGTATAAAAATCCGTTACCTACCACGGTGAGTTGATGAAATACCTTTCTAAAAAGTGCTCTTGTTGTAAAGGAATATTGTAGTTACGTTAGCCTTGAGTATAGTAGCTAAAAAGCTAGCTTCTATAGGGTAAAGTATCAGCTACAATACCTAAAAGCTTTCTGGCTGAGTAAAGCAAGACCTTCTTAGTAAATGACAGATTACGGTTTTGAAAAAGAGCAACTTTTAGAGACTTCTAAAAGAGAAGTCATTAAATGGTTTTAATGACTAGAAAACTAGAATAGCAGTTGATTGTAAGCAACAGTGTAAGCAGATAAGCAGTGGTAAGCTTTTATAGTAGAGAAGACTTCTAAAAGAACAACTTTTAGAAAAGACTGCTTCTTCTTTATCAGTTCCTTATTTTAGACAATGCCTCTCTCTTGGTACCCCCGGAATTTCACAAATCCCGACTATTCCCAAATGAATCCTTTCCAATCAATATCTGATGATGCTCTATATAATGTTCAACTCGGTCTTTATGTCATCGGTTATCGAGAGTTCAAGGATGATGAGGTAAATCGGGAATACAGTCGACGCTCGATAGTAAATCATTGAAGGGATTCTTCAAAAATCGAGAGTTTTGCCTAATCAGTCCTAAAAACATCAAAAACACTGTGAATAAGCGGATAAATACGATTTTTTTGGCTTGAACACGACGTTTAAATACTTAAACACTAGTAAACATTAGGCTTTTCGCGAATTCAACTTTCCAAAATGGTTTTAATGACTAGAAAACTAGAATAGCAGTTGATTGTAAGCAACAGTGTAAGCGGATAAGCAGTTGTAAGCTTTTATAGTAAAATATATGAACTTTGGCAAAAGTTAGTGATTTACTATGAGATTTACTTGCTAAAAAACTCTTAATATGTAATGAAATGGATTTGAATGAACGAATTTGCTGTTGAATGCTCTTTTTCCCTTTCGCTTTCAATCGTTTAGCTGAATATCTTGCTTGGATAGTAAATAAAATGTAAATTTTGCAGCTGAAAATGCAAAATTTTGCTTAAAAATCAATGATTTACTATCAAGCGTTAAATACACGTGTTTACCATTGGAGGGATTCTTTAAAAGTGATTCAATATCGAGCGTCATTTATTATCGAGCATCAACTCTATATCTAGAAACATATCTTTTAAGCTGAAAAAATTCCGTCCCGAGCATCGAACACTTTGCCGTTTGACAACGTATTCAAACAGAAACACCTATGATTATCGATGGAAACCACAAGAGGAAGTCATCAATCTCAATCAGGTTTTTTTTTCTGTTTTAGTGAAATAATGAAATTTATGAAAGTTTAGGTTCAACAATGGTATCTAACCGATTGGGAAAGGATGAACACTCTGTACACGTATCGAGTCGGATATCTCAAGCTGGCTCCACTTCGGGCAAATGATCTTAATGCGACGAATTTGCAATCCGGGTTGGTAGTTGAATCATTTTTTGGTGCTGGCTTTTGGCCTAACTTGGCTTCTAGATAGCTTTTCTAGATTTAATTGTAATCTTGTAGGCTAAATTTTGGACCAAATTTAGGCCAAATTTAATTGTAATCTTGTAGGCTAAATTTTGGGCCAAATTTAGGCCAAATTTAATTGTAATCTTGTAGGCCAAACTATATTTTCCAGCACAAACTCTAACAGTTGGTCTCTAACAGTTGAAATTAGTTTCAACTCTAACAATCAATTCTTAACTTGCTAATGGAAATCCTTTGCATTGATTGAGTTTCTAAATTTGTTTTCAAAGGTTTAATTTTAGTTTTCCATTTCAGTTTGGTCACCTCTCCAATCTCGTTGCATTGGTTGTGGACGCCGGAGAATCAGAATTTTGCTACAACCACTTTTTCACAGGTGAAGATTTTGAAATAACTAAATAAAGTATGGAAAATTTAAGTGAAAATTAAATGGATTAAGTTCAAAAATGAATATATTTATAGATATGTTGTGTCCGATTTAGATTGAACTTATCGCGGACGTTCGATTTAGATTACAGTCTATATCGGACGTCCGATTTAGATTCAATCTAAATCTTATATAGATCGAACAATAATATAAACATGCTTAATATATGTTCTTAAGCGTTTTCTGTAGTTTTCTGCATTTTTCAAAGGTCTTTTATTGATTACAGTCTATATCGGACGTCCGATACAGATCGAACAATAATAAACGTGCTTAATATATGTTTTAAGTTTTTTTTTTTTTTTTTTTTTTTTTTTAAATTTTTTATTTTTTTTAAAAATTTTTTTTAAATTTAAAAAAAAAATTAAATTATTAAAAATTAAAAAACCAAAAAAATTTAAAAAAAAAAAAATTCCTTTTAAAAAAAAAAAAAAAAAATAATAAAAAAAAAAATATTTTATTAAAAAAAAAAATATTTTTTTTTTTCTATATATTAGGTTGATGCAAAAGTCTTTTTCATTTTTTTCGTACTTCTTTTGAAAAATAACAAAATCATCAATTAACCTATGGTTTGCTCTAAATGAAAAGTGTTTATTGTTGAATTTCCCATCTTTTTAAGTCAATTTGGGTTCACTTTCAAGCAAATTCGAGAGTGAAAACGGGTTTTTCATAAAAATCTATAAAAACCTCTATAAAGAAATTGGCTGAATCAATTTCTCTGAAAATCTGAAAAAATATCTAACTTTTTGTGCTCTATCTTTTATTTATTAACATCAAGATTGGTTTCCTTAGCTAAAGCGTCTAAAATGCATCATCGAGCCGTCGCCTTTTTTGACTACCCGACTTCAGGCTCTCAAAAAAATCTAGACATAAGACATTTTAAACTCGTTTTAATGTCATTTTGCAGAAAAATAATTGGCCTTTCGAATGCAATAAACCGTTGTTCAATTCGTGCATTTGTTACTTTTTAACGGAAGTACGAAAAAAATGAAAAAGACTTTTGCATCAACCTAATATCTTCTTAAGCGTTTTTTGCAATTTTCTGCGCTTTTCAAAGAAATTTTATTGTCTTTTTTTGAGAATCTTTTGTTTTCTTGTTTTCCTATTAAATGCTTACTATTATCCTATTAAAGTTAAAAACTAGAGAAAACGCTTAGGAACATATATTAACCATGTTTATATTATTGTTCAATCTATATAAGATTTAGATTGAATCTAAATCGGACGTCCGATATAGACTGTAATCTAAATCGAACGTCCGCGATAAGTTCAATCTAAATCGGACACAACATATATAAATAGTCTAAAATTTGCATTTCTTTTTCAAGTATCTAAACGATTTCCGAAATTTTTAGGCAGAAATCAACGCACGAACGGAATTCGTGAAGAAGAAGGCCACCCAAATGTGCCACGATTGGTGAGTTGAAATGAGGAAAAAAAATGGGAAATTATGAATTAAAGGTACGACGAGGATGGAGCATTGTTCAACTTTATTCGTGACACCGAGAGCAATTCATCGTGTCCGTGTGTGGAGAGTCAAGCGAGATTGGATTTGGGACGATTCATGCCACATCCACGGTGCTCACAGGTGAGAAAAGATGGAAAAGCTGAAAATGCCATGGTCTAGTTGTTTGGTTACAAAACTGCCATGATCTAGTTGTTTCAAGGTCAGCGCTAATCTGGTTCAGACCTAAACCTGGACTAGGCTGGACTTAGCTCCGGTTCCATTGAAAAAGAGCTGCTCAAAAGCTAGTCCTATACCTGGACTAGGCTGATTTCTGGCCTAGCTTACAGAAATTAACTATAGGACCCAAAGCTGGACTTTCAAAAACATACAGTAGTTTTTTGTAAATCCAATATTCAACTTGGATTGAATATTCAACTTGGAGCTCAAGAAATCTTTCTCTATTCTCAACTTTTAGATGTTCCGTGATATCACATGTACTTCGGTGATCGGTTCTCGCAATTGCTACATGTCGGCCGGGAATATTTTTGGATCGTACGCCGGTGGAGGGTCAACGTTTAACAATTTTGATACAAAGTAAGCAATCTCTCTTCTTTCTTCTTCAATTTTGATTTTTTTCAGCCGTTTCCGCACAACATTCGGTCAAGTTTGTTGCTATGATGAGGCCGGGTATTTGATGCAAACACCCTATCAACCGGTTATTAAAACTCAAAAAGAGTATTTCTATAATCCCGGCTATCCGATGAGGGCATACGAGTTCGGGACGACACCCTACATGGGACAGTTTGAGGTGGGGTTTGTACAGCTACTATTCAATAGCTTAATACAATAGTTATTCGTTATTCGCTAGGGATCGCAGCTTGAAATTACTGCTAACTATGTCAGTAGTTAGCAGTACTTAGTTAGCAGTACGCAGTAGTTTTTAAGTGTTTTGTTTTAGTTAAAAGAAAAGAAAGAACTTTAGTTAAAAGAGTGCTACATTTTAACAAAAATCAAGCTTGATTTTTGCTGAAAACCTGCTAAAAACCTTGACAAATTCTCAAGTTTTTTAGGTTCCTGGTCTCTCCGTTTTTGTCCACGATTACATGCCGTACTTCTTGTGTTGTAAATTTGCCGATTTCCGTTGTCAAATGTTTTATTGGAGAAGACCATCCAGTGCTTGCCAACAGTATCAATCTCCAGCCATTGGTGAGTTCAAGATATTCTAGTTTAAGGCCAACTTCGAAACAAATAAACAAAGATTCTTTTGATTCGATATGAAAGCTTTATTCAGAATTATCAAATAGTATTGTGGAAAAGCTTCTAACTTCTTCAAATTGCAGGCCAAATCTCCGGTGGTGGCACAACAGTCACAATCGACAATCAGAAGTTTATCTTTGACGAGCCGGGTGTCTTCAATTTCCTTCATATTCCGAAAACGACGAGAAATCCTGAAGTGAGGATACAAGTACGATTGGAGAGATATCCCAATCGGAAGGTCGATTTTGGTGAGTGCTTGAAAAGATTGATTAAGAAGAAACAGGTTTTTAAATATAATAAAATATGATATCAAGAAGGTTAATATCGTATTTTATCATTTAAAACTATTTAATATTCTTTTTAGGTCTACTTGGTCGTTACATGCCACAAATGGATTTGGTTCAACCAACGAATATCACCGTCGTTACGGGAATCGTTTTAGAGGCTACTGGTTTGTTGAATGAAAAGACGATTTCTAAAATGTGTAAACTTTTGAAACTCTATCGTATTCTTCAAGCTTCAAAGCTTCAAAGCTTCAAGCTTCAAGCTTCAAACTTCAAAGCTTCAAGCTTCAAGCTTCATGGCTTCGAAGCTTCAAAGCATCAAGCTTCAAAGCATCAAGCTTCAAAGCTTCAAAGCTTCAAGCTTCAAAGCATCAAGCTTCAAGCTTTCCAATTCTATAGACTTTCGTATTCCCTTATAAAGTTAAATCAAAAATTGATAAAAAGCTAGAGACAGAATTATGGTAGTTTTTAGAAATTGATATATTTTAGATGTTGATAGATAATTGATATGTCAAAGCATTAATTAAGTGAAAGATAAATAACATTTATTTCTATTAAATATCGAATTTTAATTCTTTATAGGATCTGAAAGAGTTCATATTATGGCCCGAAAGGACACTCGACGTTTCCGCTACAGAACCGACATTTTGGTGGGCGGAATCGTTCGATACTTTGACACGATTCATCTGCAAAGATTTAAAGGTTTAAAAAAAGAAAAGTAATGATTTAAAAAAATCTATAGGTGTGATCATCTACGTGAACAATGTGGACAGGTTAGTGAATGAGAAACGGATTTACAGTTGACTCTCTGTATGGAGATGTAGATCTGTAGAGCTCTCTACGGAATGGAAGGGATCAAAAAATGTTTCCATTATATAGAGTGCCGTTTTATTTAGTTTAGCGTGGGTGGGGACCAAAATTGTATTCCGTTATGTTCCAATATGGTTCCAAAAAGTTCCTTGCGGGAATATGGTTCCAATATGGTTCCAATAAGTTCCCTGCGGGAATATGGTTCCAATATGGTTCCAATATGGTTCCAATATGGTTCCAATTTGGTTCCAATATGGTTCCAATATGGTTCCAATATGGTTCCAATATGGTTCCAATATGGTTCCAATATGGTTCCAATATGGTTCCAATATGGTTCCAATATGGTTCCAATTTGGTTCTAGAGTTTTCCGCTATATAGAGTTCCATTATAGAGAAAGTCGACTGTAATTAAGGAAAAAGTTATGTCAATAAATGAATGATGAGTTGCAATTTGTTATTTATTAGCTGTATATCTTAAACTTCTTACGTATTTTAAAAGATATTCAGTTAAAATAAAAATTTCAGACTTTCTAAATGTTTTTTTTGTGTTCTTTTCTTTTACAACTACTCTATTAGCATTTAATTTTTAAAAACAAAAAGATATTCAATTAAAGAAAGTAAGTAACTAATAAGAAAGTAAAAAGAAAGTAACAAGAAAACAAGTAACTTGTTTTACTTATATAAAAATATTTAGTCGTGGTCAACCGGAGATTTACGTCGTTTTGGAGGAAGCACAGATCGGAATTCGTGTTCGAGAAAGCTACGCGGTTGATGTTGATCGGTGAGATATTAGAGATTATATTATCTATAGTAAGCTGTAGATAACATCTCATAAAACTCTTGATTCCAGTTTATCGATGTTCCAAGAGAGTATGGGAATGCTCGACATCCAACTCTCCGTCCCCCCACAATATGGAGTGGTGAGTTCGAAAGTTCGAAAGATAAAATGACTACTTCCAATCGATTGCCTGACCCTAAAAGCCAATTTAACAGCTGAATATCTTTTTGTATCATATACAAAGGAAAAGAGAAATCCCTGTAAATGACTGGAGAGGTGTTCTCTGAGCACGCGCACAATCGCTCGCCGTCTGGCACACGTCCCCGATAGATAGGTGTTCCCTTTTGATCAACTAGTGTCGTGGGCCAAACGCCGGATACAAACGCTAACCTCCAGACTCTCCCAGGCATCCATTCCCCGACATAGGCTTTGTTTTTAAAGGTTTCCCAGTGTGGAGGCACTTCACCAAATGAAAAGTTGACATTTTCATAGTTCAAGTCATATCCAATATGTTTTCAAAAACCTGATTCACGAAATTCTTTCAGCGACCTGATGGTGACAACACCCGTGACGCACAACTCCGACAGATCTACAATCTGCCTCGAGTATCCGGTTAGCTTAGAAAAGATCTTTACAAATTAAAATCCAATTTTTATTAGACAAATTTCCATTTAAACATTCACAGGTTTAATGCGCCCATTCCCCGATCAATCAACTGGATCTCTCGACCTTGGCATCACTCTAAATGACGTGAATTCGGATCAATACCGACAACAGATCATACAACAATGTGAGCTTTAAAAGAATCTCAAAAAAAAAATCAGCTATTTACCCATTTTATCCATTCAGATCGTGTCTATGGAACGGGCGAACCGGGCTCAGAACAAGCTCAACCGGGGATCAATGTGCAAGGGTTGCCACAAGAGAATATGTTCACAACGAGCAAGGTTTGATATGAATGGATTGGGTTGAAGGATCGTTTTCGAAAATGTATCACTTTTCGAAAACTATGAGGAATCAAAAGGCTCAGTCAAATGATATAAAAATGATATAAAAATTGGGATAATCGAATGGAAACTGGTGATTGATTATAGAATCAATTGATTACAGAATGATTACAGAACGATTATAGAATCAATTGATTACAGAGTGTTTACAGAACGACTATAGAATCAATTGATTACAGGGTGATTGATTACAGAATAATTATAGAATGATCGTTTGATTACAGAGTGATTTTACAGAATCAAGCATCAGTTTCCATTCGATTATTCCAATTTTTATATCGTTTGCCTGAGCCTTTTGATTCCTCATCGAATGATACAAAAATTGGGCTAATCAAAGGTAAACTCGCAATTGTACTATGGTAATTTTTGAAAATAAATGCCTTTTGGGTAAGAGTCTCTCTTTAGATATTCTCTAGATCTAATTAGATATGCCTTATTTCTTTTCTAGATTAGATTTTCTATAGAATTGAGAATTTTTATTGAAATACACAAAAAAACAAGCTCCGGCAAAGCCAAAAAGTGCTCAAGTTTTTAAAAACCCAACAATTTTCCCTTTTTCCCAATCAAATTGCCTTTTCTAGCATGTTTTCTTTTCTAGCAAAAGGCGTACTTTGTGCGCGCACGTAAACACTCTCTTTCTGGCACATAGGCCGCATGAAGGTCATATAGGCGACTCTTTTCAAAGAAGAAAACTGCCCGAATGATCTTCGGTGGGCCGGAGTGCAGGCTTCAAACCTGTAGGCGCTTAGCGGCGCAGTGGTTCGATTCCACCTTTCGGGTGACATGAAAATACTTTTTTTAAACTTTAATATAATTTTTATCTTCAGGAAGAAGACAAAGCGTTCGACGTTTTCCCGGAGGCTCAATCGAGAAAAGCGCCCGTTTTCAAGTCAGCTCCAATCTGGGAAACGTGAGTTTTCCATCGAGTTTATGGCTTTTGTACATTGAGATGGAAATGTAAGCATAGTCTTTCTGGCGCACTCAAAACTCTTCCAATGGCAATAGTTGCTCAATTCAAATGTTATACTTTCTATTTTAGAGGTCCAAATCGTTTCCATGTGCAAACAGGTCAAATTGTCAGTCAGCTTCTCGCCACTTGTACCGATTTGCAAAATAATCCAAATGGTACTGGGAAAGTTCTATTTTTTTTGATTTTCAACTGAGTTTTCAATTCTTTTTTTTTTCAGTGGATCTTGCTCCATATCAATCCTTTCAAACGGAAGCCTACGGGCAACGGAATTGCCCGGACGATCCGGGAAGTATTCTCCAGGATTGTGGAGATAATGTAGGTTTCGAAAAACTACTCTAATCCTTAATCCAATAAGTATACGTATTCAAATTTCATTTTACAAGAATTATTTCTACTTCTAACCATTTCTAGGTCCCTTGTCTCTACGATTACACGCTGTTCAACTCGAAGATTTTGGGACAACTCGAGCTAGAGACATACAACAATTTCCTCTCCGACCGACTCCAGGCACAGAGACAATGTCAGTGGAAAGATTTAGTTTAGCTTAGCTAGCTTGGCTTAGCTAGCTTAGCTTAGCTTAGCTAGCTAGCTTGGCTTAGCTAGCTTAGCTAGCTTGGCTTAGCTTAGCTAGCTTAGCTTGACTTAGCTAGCTTAGCTTAGCTTAGCTAGCTTGGCTTAGCTAGTTAGCTTGACTTAGCTAGCTTAGCTTAGCTATTAACTTTCTGATCTTTTAAAAGAATGCTTTTTTCAGATAACTCTTGTGGAGCGATCAACATCGAGTACCCTGAGTATATGATGAAAACGCCGGCCATGGCAAGTGGATATTTGCAAGGTGAGAAATGCTAGTGTTGAAGAAGGAAAAAAGGATTTCTAGGTGATGTTGCCCGTTTTGATTGCTATCAATCACATTGGATTCACGGTGATCACGAGTATAAATGCGGTATCATCATTGATCGAAATGATCAATCCGGATTGTCGTACCGATATGAGTGGAACAAGGTTTGGAGCTGAGACGGGAAAAGAATGAATTTCCAAATCAAGTTTCGAAGTTGAGATTTCCATAGCTTAATTCAGACTAGTACAGTATCCAAATAGTACTTTAGGTTACGATATAATGGTACCAAATAAGTTAAGCTTTTTGTAATATTTTCACCTTTCATCTCCAGGGAAGTCAACCATGGTGTCGATCGAGAATCAAAGAGAATTACTTCAAATGGTTGGCCACGATTTTCGGTTTCGTCGGCTGTGTTTTGGTGAGAGAGAGAGAGAGAAAGATTTTAAGAAAAGACAAGAGTAGCCAGCCATTCTTCGTGTTTAGATTTTTGAATTCTAATCTGCGTCTAATTTCCAGAAGCACTATAGGCAAAAGCTAAAGTCAGAGCACCTTATGGGACAACTTTTACAAAATCGAGTAGATCAACTATCATTTTCATCCTAGAGACCAGTTGAACAATCCCAGCTACTCCTGGAGTCGATCCTAGTCGTCAATCCGATAGTCCAGTCAATCCTAGTCATCAATCCGATAGTCCAGTCAATCCTAGTCATCAATCCGATAGTCCAGTCAATCCTAGTCATCAATCCGATAGTCCAGTCAATCCTAGTCGTCAATCGTCAATCCGATAGTCCGCACTGATCTTAAAAACCATCTTTTTTAGGTGATAATCTTGATCTTCTTGATGTGTTGGTGTATAAAGCAGAGGAGATTGAATGAGAGAGCCGACGAGTATGGAACAACGCAAAGAGGAGGCGGAGGACCGGCTTTCGGGAATAAGGTGAGTGATGGATGAAGGAAAAGAAAAAGAAAAAGAAAGTACAGTATTCAAGGAGTAGTAGCTTGTATAATGTACTCAATCATTTAGGCTTTTGTCGCCGATCGTCAATTCGATAACATGAGTGAACCGCCGCGGCCAACGGGCATTCCCCGAGCCACACCGGTGGCCCTCGAGCCAAGAAGGTAGTGGAGAAGTTTTAAAACATTGAGAATCAAATCTAAATCGATAGTTAGTTACCGTAGTTAGTTACCGTAGTTCCAGTTATCATTGTGTACAGTAATCCGCATCCGATCTAGAGTCTAATTGCATAACTTTTTCCAGATTCTCTCCCACTCCATCCTCGATTCCAGGCAGTGTTCAGCCGCCGATTCTCGGAATGAACACCAGTGTTTAGCTAATTATTTAGCTAATTGTTTAGCTAATTATTTAGCTAATTATCTTCATTTAATCTATCTAGACTTTTAAAATGATACTCATTCATCCTTTATCAAATGCTATTTCATGTATTTGAGTTTTGTTTATTCAGTTTGAGATTATCCAAATGATATCTTCCTCATCTACTTACACGTAGTTACCATGTAACAGTAGAAATTTGACACAAAAATTTTTTGTTTATATTCCCTTTATATTCCCTTTATATTCCCTTTATTTTCCCTAAAAATTGCTCATCATGCCGTCAGGAAATCCCCAGCATCCTCAATGGTTCTGATTTTGTGTGTTAAAAGATGAATAAATTTATTGAAACTTATCAATTCTATGAAGAAGATGAGGAGAGGCTCGATGAAGAGTTCGATGAAGAGCGAGAGCTCGTAAATCTCTTTTTTTCCCCGAAATTAAATAAGTAGTACTACACATCGAACTTTTACTACGATATGTATCAAATCAAATCAACTGTCAGTTTGACGCATTCATGTAAAAGTACTTTGAGCTCTAGAATGAATACTTCAACTGAAGAGATTACTGTTGTCAGGATATACTTGTTATCCCTTAAACTTGTACTTGTATTACTTACTTGTACTTGGCTAGTTTTCGAATCGATAGGTAAAGGTGAGGCTCAATGGCATCGCGGGGCTCATCTTGATTTGATCGCTTCTAGCTTCATAACCCCATTCTTCATCGTAATGTACAAGTAAGTAATACAAATAAATTTGTATTACTTACTTGTACTTGTATTACTTACTTGTACTTGTATTACTTACTTGTACTTGTAACTTGTAGGCTTTACTTGTAAGCTAAACTCGACTTACCCAAGTAATGATAAAAAGTTACAAATTCTCGTTATAACTTAAAAATCAATTTCTTTACGTATAATGTTTTCAAATAGATACTATAAACAGTATAAAAGATTGAACTGTTGCTGGCTCTGGCTTAGGATGATCAAATGGATGGATACTCCAAAGTATCCATCCATTTGATATTGGGTACTAGAGGGGATTGTTTACAGCAGAATTGCTTGACTATTATATGAGATTTCTGTATCGTAACTTGTATCGAAAATCGTTTGTTGCCGATTCTTCAAAGTGGAGAGAAAGAGAGTTGAATGCTGAAAGGTAAAGGCTTTCTGATGTCGGTCAGTCACCACACACTCGTCTCGTGTAGTATAAAGGTATTCGGTTTCAATTGGTTTGAAGAGGGCTGACCCCCGAAGAGAAGGGAAAACCTTGGCTCCCATTGCCCTCGGGATATTTACATTTGATGCCCAACCTCTTTCCATTCCATCTTTTCCTTTGATTTCATTTCTTTCATTTCTCCAATCATTTTCCCGTCAGCTTGATTCTCTTGCTTTTCTCTTGAGTGCGTAAATGAGAATCTCAATTTCTTTTTTTTTGAGGCTTGGTTATCTGATTCTAGACTAGTACTATGTGCTGTGTGGAAAAAGAAATAACGAAGTATAGTAGAGAATTGAGAAAACTGTAATCAATAGCTGAATAGTATGGATTAGTAACCGAAAATCTGTTCCTTTATCCGTTCATCTCAATCTAGAATTCTTAACTGAGAGATATCGGTGGATTGCTAAAGTCAGGGTTGTTCTAAGAGGAATTTTTGTGGATCAGGCAAGGCTAAATAAAGCCAGGTCTGGCTTTGCTACGAGCCCGGCTCACAAAAGATCCTTAGACTTGGCTTGGCTTGGCTTGGCTTAGCTTACAGGCCCAAAGGCCAAGTTGGATCCAATCTTTATTGATTTTATGATATCCAGATATTCTATGCCATATCCAGATATAAATCTACTTTCTCAGTAAACGAAATCACCAAAAAATGAGATCTCGACGATGAGTGGGTGGATTGAGTCGAGAGACGAGAATGAGAGAGTCAAGAGACGAGAATGAGATTGCCTTCTATGTCCTTTGCACCAAAAAAACTGGAAAAGGAAAAGTTTCTTTTGCACAGAGATTCTATGTGTGTATTTGGGGTGTGCGGATGGGAGGATCCCTTGGGGGTGTCCTGGATGGAGGGTGTCCTGGATGGGGGTGGTTCAAGGGGAGGATAGAGGAGAGGACCTCGACACCCCGCTGGTCCCCTTTTTCACCCATCTCTTCCCACCACCCCTTCTCAGCTCTTTTCGAGAAAACGACACCATCTTTTTGTTTTTCTCTTTGTCTTTATCTTTGTCTTTGTCTTTGTCTTTTTGTGTCTCAAAGACAACGAGAAGAGTTTCGGATTTTCGGTATTGTTGTGGCGAATAGCCACTAAAAGTTAACTCTGACAGCCTAAAAATTGGAAAAATATTGAGGAAATCGGTGCGCCTTCATTTTATTTCGCGCCCCAAATCATTTATGGTTTTGTAGCTTGTTAGCTGAGTATCTTGTGTTAAAGCCTATATAAGGCAACTGTTGTTCATTTGTTTTTGTTATCTTTCATTTTTCTTTTTTGCTTTCCTCTCATCGTGTGAAAGTTGTGTCCTAATTAGGACGAAATTGTTTCCGTTTTTATCATCGCTTTAATTCAATTGTCGATCTTGTGTGAAAATTGCTCAAGTAAGAGCCCAAAGATTCCGAGTCAGTCGGTTATTGAATAAAGTGTTTTAGTTCAAGTGAGATCAGATATCTCAAAACAAGAAATAACGTGTCTTGAGTGAAGAGTACCAAGCACGCAAAGAATATTTCTTTACAATTGTTGTATTTTTCTGTTACTGTTGCATCGATTTCACCTGTCAATCTGTACCAAGTCGTCTTTTGATTAGAGCTTAAATCTAGCTGGCTTTGCTGTTATTTGATTTGATTTGATTTGATTCAAAAAAATTACCAAATTTCTATACATATTTCACAGTGTTTTCTTGTTTTCTATTCGTTTTCCTTGTTCCCCCTCTCTGCCAACCACTTGAGAAGAGTCGGGTCACGCCATTTCGTATGCAAAAACAACAAATTGGCCTCTCCTTCTTTCCAAAAATTTATTCTTTTACTTTTTCATGAAATCTATTTTCTTTCAAATTTGTTTTAAAATTCCTTTTGATTTTAAAGATGGGGATTTGCTTGTTGATTCGAAATTTCCGGACGGATGAAGCAAATGGGGCAATTGTGGGGGAGAGACAAGGGAAGGGTCATTTAAAGCATCGACGCATAAATCGTTGAATCGAAATGGGGTGGAGGGGGAAGGCTAGCTGGCCTGAGCTAGCTGGTTTACAAAAGACCCATCAAAAGACTTGAACCCATCAAAAGCTAGGCCTGACTTCTGGACTTCTAACCGAGTCTTCTGGACTTGACTTGACCTGCCTTTCAACCCCTAAGTCGATTCTCACATCCCTGCTTACTAAGGTGAATTGGTGAATTGGTGAATTTTTGATTTTAGGGCAAAGAGTGATGGAACAAGATGCAGAATCTCTACTTTTTTCAGGGTACATTCATTTGGTTTTCTATAGAATAATGGATTCGCTTTCCCCTTTCCCAAATAGGGCCAAAATTTGAATGAATAACGAATGTGAGGCAATGTGAATCCTTTTCCATTCGAAACCCATCCATTCTTTTCGCAATTTGTTGACAAATGGTGGGATTTCTTTTGGGGTATTCAACATTTTAAAATGAACTAAATGAATATCTTTGGTCAAAATTGGTATTTGTGTTTGAATTTGTTTGGTTTTCATTTGTTTGGTTTTCATTTGTTTAGTTTTCATTTGATTTAGATTTCATTGAGTTTTTTTGCTATTTATGTAAAGATTGTACCATTTTAAATGCTTTAGTTTCATCGAATCCAAGATTAGATCAAGATTTTGTTTGATCAATGATATGATTTGGATCAATCCTGGCAAGAAATAGAAGTGATTGATTATTTTTATTCATATAATTTCATGCAATATGTTAAGAAAAGTCAGTAGACAAGAGGTTTATATAGAAAAATGATCTAAACTTGTTTGAAAAACTGCTATACTTCGGGAAAACTATAATCAAGAGGTAGACAAGAGGTTTATGCAGAAAAATGATCTAAAAGTTGTTTGGAAAACTGCTATACTTGGGGGTAATCTAATAGGAACCAAGGGGTACACCCAGGGCTGTCAAAATGACCGAGTATCAATGACCCTTTTCTTTCTCGAGTTTTGACCAATTAGTAATCAAGTATTGAGGGTGAGAATAACGAACTGGGCTAATAAAGAAGATAAAGAAGAAACGATGACAGATGTGAGTTTTGAGGGAAGAGGGTGAAGGGAAGAGGGTGAAGAGGCTGAGCTCCTGAATGGTCTCTCAATGAGAGTCTCGAGAGGAAAGTCAAGTATTTGACTAATGAGCTTATGCACATTCCATTCATCAAATACCTATTTAATCTATAGTATTTTGTGAGGAGAATTGAAGAATTTTAAAGCTTAAAGAAATTTAAGGCAAAAGTTTATGATAAAGCAAAGCCTATCAACTATTCTCTGCATAGCTTCAACCTTTTTCGATTTCCTTTCTCTAATGGAATGAGAAGTGAATCATTTCCTCACAACGATGGGGGGAATCAAAAGAAGATTGGAGGGAAAAGAAAGTCGATCACCCTATGAGATATGCAAATGTCGGTCTGAATGAATGGGGGAACGGGGAACGGGGGAACGGGTCCTTCATTCATCTCATCCACCTCATTTCCTTGCCTTCTTCAAGCCGAACACTCTCTACCATCTCAACAATTAGAACCAGTTGCTTGGATTAAATGATTTACTGAGATTCTTGAGATTATAATCATTAATCAAGTATGTACAAAGATTCGGCTTATCGGCTTATCTTTATCTTTCTATGTCTTCTGCTGCTTGTTTCCTAGTTCTTGCTATGTCTTCTACTTTCCTAGTTTTGGAAACAAGTTAAAGGTTTTTGATTTATACTGACCATCTTTTTTTAATCTATCTTTTTTAATCTATCTTTTTAATCTATGTCTTTGTTATCTAACAAACGAATTAGTAAACCAATCATTGATGCCTTGATGACCAAT